GCTTCAAGGCACTCAGTGATGAGTGGTTTGCCCGTGGCAACACCGGCACCCCTCCTCGCTGGTCCGCCCTCAACCCTCGCCCCACTCCCCTTGAGGTCCGTTCCTCTCCCCTTTATGAACCTCCCTCCTCCACCCACGCCCACCAGGCCCTCGCCCCTCCCCAGCAGCAGCACCAGCAGCAGCAACAGCAGCAGCAGCTTGGGAATCAGCAGCAGGGGTCACAGCAGTATGGGCAGCAGCTTCTCCTCTCTCAGCTCCAGCAGCAGCTCCAGCATCTCCAGCAGCAGCTCGACCTCCAGCCGCAACTGCCCCTCCTCCCTCCTCCTCCGGTTTCCCAGCAGCAGCCCTTTCCTACCTGGACTGCTGGGAGTGCTGCCTTTGCAGCCCATCTCTCGGGTGCGTCCCCGGCGCCGTCTGCAGGTGGCAGTGTGACCGCTTTCCCTTCCTCTGGTTTTGTTGGTCTATTAGGTCAACCTGAATCTGTTGCATCTCCCATGTACCCTTCTTCTGCTAATGAAACTTCGTTCCAGTACTCTGCCTCACCTTCCTCCACCATTGACTTCGTTCTGGACAGTGGAGCCACTGACACTGTCCTTCACGACGCTGGTACACTGCGCCCTCTCCCCACACCAACCTCCCTCCTCGGCGCTGATAGCAGTTTTTCCATCCCTTGTCACAACACCTCCACCCTTCCCTGTCCTCTCTTTCCCTCAGGTACTGTCACCGGTCTCCACATTCCCTCCCTTCGTACTAACCTCCTCTCCCAAAGGTCCCTCCAACAAGCCATGATCACCACTCTCATCCCAGGTGGTGCTAACCATTGTGACCTATACCAAACCTCCACAGGTCGTTTTCTCGCCCGTATTCCCTATTGTCCTCGCTCCCGTCTGTACACCCTTTGGGTTCCCCGCCCCCTCACCTTCCAAGTTGCCTCCCCCCCCCTCCTTCCCCCCCCCCCCTCCCCTCCCTCCCACTAACCCACCCCTCCCCCCCCGCCCTCCTGACTCTGACTGTTCCTGTCGCTCCCTCTCCCACCCCACCATCCTCCTCCATCACAGGCTAGGCCACCCCAACTTCGCTACTCTGCGCTCCTCTGTCTCCTCCGGTCTCCTCCACGGTCTCCCTTCCTCCCTCCTTCCCCTCCCCAAATCCCCTGCCCCCCCCTGCACCGTCTGCGTTCAGAGCAAGCTCAAGCAGCAGCCGCACCGGAGCTCCCCCTCCGCTGCTGCGCAGCCACTTGATCTTGTTCACATGGACCTATGGGGCCCTAATCCCTCTCCCACTCGCCAGGGCCATCGCTACCTTCTCGTGCTTGTTGATGATCACAGTCGGTACTCGTCCGTCTCTCTCCTTCGGACGAAGGCGGATGCCCCGGCTGCAATCATCGCCTAGCTCGAGCGGGCAAACACCCATTTTGGGCGCCCTGTTTGCCGCCTTCACTCTGATGGAGGTGGTGAGTTCCTTAACAACCAAGTCTCCTCCTATTGTCAGTCTCGTGGCATCCTTCAGACTTACACCCTCCCTCACTCCCCACAGCAGAACGGCGTGGCTGAGAGTCGTGTTCGAGAGATCACCAAAACAGCCCGGTGTCTGCTTGTCCACGCCTCCTGCCCCCCTTCTCTTTGGGGCTACGCCCTCCTTCATGCCGCCCTCCTTACTAACCTTTACCCTCACCCCCTTCTCCCCTCCATCACCCCCAGTGAGCTGTGGACGAAGGACAAGCCTGATGCCTCATCACTTCGTGTCTGGGGCTCTAAGGCACATGTCCTCATTCACCCCTCTGACCGCTCCCGTTCCATGGGAAAGCTTGCCCCTCGTACCCTTCCCTGCATCTTCCTTGGTCATAATCCCTCCTCCCCTGACTACCTTTTCCTCCACCCACCATCCGGTCGTCTAATCCGCAGCCGGGATGTGGTCTTTGACGAGTCCACTCCCTACTACTCCTCTCCCACATCTACTGACCCACTCCCCCCTCTCACCTGTCCCTTTGTCTGGTCTGACACCACCCCTCCCCCACTACTCCCTCCTCCCCCCATCCTCCCACCCCCCCCTTCTCCGCCGTCCCAGTCCCATGGTGCCCCTCCCTCTTCTGGTGACATCTTTGACCCGGAACCTCTGTCTTCTCCTGTCTCCCCCGCTCACTCCTCTCCTAGTACCCCTCCCTCCCCCCCTTCCTCTCCCTCGCCACCAACCCGTCCTCCCCCTTCCCGCACCATACTCACCCGGTATCCCCACACCAGGTCACGTGACGGTATCCTTGGTGCACCGCCTCCCGTTACCCTCTCTACCTCTACCCTCCCCCCTCTCTCCCCCCTCCTCCGTCACTTCTTCCAGGCTGTCTTGCATCAAGCCCCTCATGCAACAGCCCCCTCAGCCACCTCCTCTCCAGCAGCGGCACCGGCAGCGGGACCAGCAGCGGCAGCAGCAGCAGCGCCAGCAGCCGCAGCAGCGGCGGGACCAGCAGCGGCACCAGCAGCGGCACCAGCAACAGTACCAGCAGCGGCACCAGCAACGGCACCAGCAGCGGCACCAGCAGCAGTACCAGCAGCGGCACCGGCAACGCCTCCACCAGCAGCACCAGCAGCGGCACCAGCAGTCATCCGCGCCTTCCACACCTCCCTCTCTGAGGACTCCCATGAAGAGTTCCTTGACCTCCACCTTTATGACCCCTCGCTTCTACCCATCACGTTCGACATCTCTGGCACACCTGTCTTCGCCCTCTCCTCTGCTCCCTCCATTTTCGTTCCTACCACGTACGCGGAGGCAATGGCGTGCCCTGACGCTCCGCTATGGCTCGCCGCCATCATCAAGGAGCTGGAGGCCTTTATCGGCAACTCCTCTTTTGTCGATGTGCCTCGCCCTCCCGCCCCTACGAACGTGGTGAAAGGAAAGTGGGTGTTTCGCGTCAAGCAGCTGCCAGGGGAGCCGCCCGTTTATAAGGCTCGTTACTGCGCCAAGGGGTTCACGCAGCGGTATGGTTTTGACTTCTTCGATACCTTCTCCCCTACTGCCAAGCCTGCTACTGTTCGCGCCGTGCTCGACCTCGCCGCTCGCCTCAATATGGAGATCCACTCGATGGACGTTTCTAACGCCTTCCTACAAGGCGTCCTCCGCGAGCTTATCTACATGGAGCGTCCAGCCGGCTTTCACCTCCCCTTCCCAGCAGACTCTGTCTGGCAGCTGCGTCGACCGGTGTATGGGCTCCGACAGGCCCCGAGGGAGTGGCATGCTAAACTTGCCGCCACCCTTGCTGAACTTGGGTTCCGCACCTCCCGCTCTGACGCCAGCCTCTTCCTCCGCACCTCCCCCTCCCCCTTTTACATCCTTGTGTATGTCGATGACATGATTCTGCTCACTGCCGACCTTGGAGAGTTGGAGCATGTTAAGGCTGAGTTGGGCACCCGTCTCAAGTGCAAAGACTTGGGAGAGCTGCAGCATTATCTGGGCATGACCATCACCCGTGACCGCTCCGCCCGCACCATCTCACTCTCCCAGGGTCATTACTTGCAGCAGGTCTTGGAGCGGTTTGACATGGCCCGCGGCGGCGCCCAACATACACCTCTTTCTGTCGGGCACCACCTCTCTCCACCCACCTCCCCCTCAGCCTCCTCCCATCCTTATCCCGAGCTCATCGGCTCCCTCATGTACGCCATGGTCTCCACTCGCCCTGACCTTGCCTACCCCATCAGCGTCCTCGCTCGTTTTGTTGGCGCAGGCAAGCATACGGAAGAGCACTGGCAGGCCGCCAAGCGTGTCCTCCGGTACCTTCGTGGCACCAAGGACTATGTCCTTACCCTTGGCGGCCCCTCCCCACCTCTTCTCAGTGGCTACAGTGACTCCTCCTGGGCTGATTCCCGGCCAGATCGTCGCTCCTTCTAGGGCTATGGCTTCTTTCTTGGCAGCGGCCTTATCAGCTGGCGCTCCACCCGCTCCTCGGCTGCAGCCCTCTCCTCCTGCGAGGCGGAATTGTATGCCGCCACCATGGCTGCGCAAGAGGCCCGCTGGCTCACCTTCCTTCTTGAGGAACTTGGTGCCCCCCAGCACTGTCCCACAATTTGGTGTGACAATGCTAGTACCATTCACCTCACCAAAGATGCTGTGTTTCACGGGCGCTCCAAGCACATTGAGCTCCGTCATTTCTTCATTCGCGATCTTGTTCAGGCGGGGCACCTTCGCCTCGACAAGGTTGACTCGGCGGCCAACCTTGCCGACATCTTCACAAAAGCTCTTCCTCATGCCGCTCACTCTTTCCTACTTCGTCTTCTTGGCCTCACTCCTCCTAAGTCGCCTCCCGCCTCTTGATTCTAGCCTTCTAGCCTTATGCATGTTGGGGGGTTGTGTTGTAATTTCATATTTCATACAACATACATAGGCTAGAAGTGTAGCACATTTATAAATTGGGGGGTTGCTTAGTGTACCCTCCAACCACATTTTGTGGTTGGTTGGGATTGGTCCTTAGCTCAACCAATCCCAACCAACACACATTTGTGGTTGCTTGGGTCACAAGCAAGCTCACCCATTGGCCAACTTATTGGCCAATAGGGTAAGCTTCCCTCTCATCTCTCTCTTGCTCATTGTTTGTACTAAAGAGCCTCTTGGCTCATTATTCAATGTATCAATTCTCTCTCTTCTAACATCCAGCCACAAGGATTATGTGCTGTGCTGTGCTGTGCTGTGCTGTGCTGTGCTGTGGTATGCTGTGCTGTGCTGTGCGGTGTTGCGTGGTGCTACATGGTGCTGCATAGAACCGAGGGGTGAGAGAGAGAGACACACACACACCTTGGTGAGCGCAGTGCCACGTGCCTCCACAGCTGCCTGCAGGTCGATGACCATCTGACGGAGCAGGTCTGATAAGTGGCTCAATGTGGGGCCCTGATGCTGCCACGTGGCAGGCAAGGAGTGGTGCAGACAGTGCGGAGGAGAACAGAGAGAGTGGGAACGTCAGAAGGGGACAGTGGAGCATTGTGAGTGCATGGCATGGGATGGGATGAATGCTTGCGTTACACTAGACAAGGCGAGGAGGACATGGCAGATACATGCTGCAAGAAGTTTGCCGGCACCTGGCGAATCACCTGGTGCTTGGAGGCAGCATGGCGAATCACCTGGTGCTTGGAGGCGGCGGGCAGGAGGAGGCGTTTGAAGGCGACGAGGGAGCGCAGGTACGACATGAGGTTGGCCCTCACTCTCAACACCCCCTCCTCCATTGCTTGCTCCTCCTGCCACGCATGCGCCGATGTTGGGGGTTCCAGTGGATGAGAATATGGGAGGTCATGTGAGAGAGCGGGAAGAGAATTGCAGAGGAAGGAGAGCTGAGGAGGGGGCAAGGGAGAGGAGAGGGGGGTGTGGATGGGAGGACGAGGAATCGCATACGTCAGAGAGCGATCACAAACAGCACATGCTGCTGCAGCAGAGGAGTGAAATGAGATGGGCTTTGAGGCAACCCCAACCCCAACCCGAGCGCACCGGAGGAAGGAGTAGGGAGAGCGAGATGCCACCGATCTCTCCAGCACGGTCACGGTCATCCTCCTCCCTTGCCCTGCGCTGCCGCACATACTTCACACGCCTCTCCCCATCGCCCACGCTGTACCCCGCTGCTGCCCGCAGCATGAGGCCTCGCAGGCTCTCCAGCTGAGAGGGATCGGCCCAGAGAAGTGCCTGGGGTAGAGGGAAGGAGAGAGGGAGGGAAGGGTAAGGGGATGGAGAGGAGTTGAAACTTGAGAGGGATCGTCCCATCCCATCGCCCGCTGCTGCTGCCCGCAGCATGGGGCCTCGCAGTGCTTCCAGCTGGGAGGGAGTGGGCCCGAGGAGGGTCTGCAGCAGAGGGGGAAAGCGAGGGAAGGAGAACGAGAAACGGCGAATCCCATAACTTACAACGTTTAAGCTCTTGCGCTTTCAATCCTGAAACGGGGGTGTGAGGATGAGATGGAGACGGGGGTGAGTGAATGGGAGGGCAGGTATCCCTTGAAGTGAACACATGGAAGTGAACGAACCCGGGAGAGGAAGGCGGTGGAGAGGGAGAGCAGCAGCAGGTCGGTGGGGTTGCAGGCGGGCGAGCGGTCCTTCAGCAGGCGTGAGAGCATGGGCTCGTGGTGCACGGCGAACTGCACCAGCTGTGATGCCACGTCCGCTTTTGACTGTGATGACGGGAGTGAGCGTGCAAGGGGGATTAGAGGAGAGCAGAGTGGGTGCGAGAGCATGGGGTCGTGGTGCAGGGCGAAGTGCAGCAGCTGTGATGCCACATCCGCCTTGGACTGTGTGCGCACGGCGCATGGGGGCAGAGGGGAGTGAGGGATGCGTGCGATCAGATGGGTGCGGTGCGGTGCGATGGACGTGCGGTGAGAGGGACGGGTGGCAGCACAACAGCAGCACGGCGCAGCAGCAGCGGCAAGTGTATTAATGTGGTATGAAGACGACTCTTGAGGTGCCTCCAAAGGCCCCTTATGACACCTGTGAGGGCAGTGCTACAGTGCGACAGGGCCATGGGCAGTGCTACAGTGCGACAGGACCATGGGCAGTGCTACAGTGCCACTCATGAGCATGCGATGCGGCTCACAGTGGCGTCGGATGGTGGTGCGTGTGGTGAGAGCGAGGCGTCAGGCGGGGCGAGGGTGGAGAGGGCGAGCAGCAGGCGCAGCACAGGGGCAACAAGGTGAGCGAAGCAGAGAGACTCCGAAGGCACGTCCAGAGATGACAGCCCCACTGGGGGCGGCGCCAGGTAAGATGCCTCCTGGGGGGTGGGAGGTGGTGGGGTGGGGTGGTGTTCACAAGGTTGGAGGTAGAAACGGACCAAGAACAAGGACGTGAGATATGGGTGTTGAGGGATCCAGCATGGAAGCGCAAGCAGTGGGGGCAGAACAGAGGAGACGAGGTGGGAGCAGCAGAGCGGCTCGGATGGGGATGCCTGGGTATGAGAGACCCACTGGGTCGGGCGTGAAGCGAGATGAGCAGAAACCCTTGACAGGGCGCACAATGCATTGGTGAGCGTGGTGCGGCATGGCATGGTATGTGCGTGAATGCAGTGCAGTGCGGTGCAGTGCAGTGGGGCGCAGTGCTGTGCAGTGCAGTGCAGTGCGGTGTGGTGTGGCGCAGTGCAGAGGGGGGACTGACAGAAACAGGGGCGTCGAGGGAGGGGCATGCAGCCATGGCGCGGGGGAATCCCGCGTTGAGCAGCAGCAGCAGCCCCTGGCGCCCCGTGGCCGCCGCCATGGCCAGCAGCAGCGCCAGCCGCGCCTCCGTCACGAACGCCTGGCGCTGTGCATCGGCCGAGGGCAGCAGGAGCACCTGTTGGGAGGGGGGTACAGGGGGAGGGGAAGGGGAGGGGAGGGGAGGGGAGGGGAAGGGGAAGAGGAGGGGTGGTATGAGAGCAGCAGCGACAGGCGCGGCTCCATGCGTGGCGCTGGGCATCTGCTGTGGGGCGTAGCAGCAGCTGCGCGAGGGGGATTAGCGGGGAGAGCGGAAGATGGGGTTGGGACAGTGGAGGTATGAGGATGAGGGTGTTGTGTAGTATGTGGGAAGTTCAGGAGCGGGGAATGGCAAGGGATAGATTGCGGCCCGATGTAAGAATCTGTGCAGATGGTACTTGGTTTAAATGGTGCCGTGAGTTGAAATGGTACTCAGTCAATTCAGCTGCAGCACTGCACCGTTCACATGTGCCATGCCACACACCTCTGAAATCCCCTTGCTGATGTCAGCTATGCACGCCTGCACCATTCCGTGCGCCTGCATCTGACTCAGCACAGCCGCGGCTGACGTGGATGCCACCGCCAGTGCTGACGTCATCCCCGGTGCCAAATCCGGCAGTCGCCCGAATCCAATCGGCAGATTCTGATTCTGCCCGCCGCCCACGGATTGCGCAAAAATGCTCCAGTGGTCCCGTCCAGCTGTCGCAATGCCATTGGTTGGCGCCAGACTGGCGGAGGCCGCGATTGGGTCGGCGGAGTGGGAGAGGAGGGAGGAGAGGGCGGCGAGTGCGAGGGAGCGAGTGAGGGGGGAGGGGGAGGAGGAGGCGTCGTGGGAGAGAGTGCGGATGAGAGTGGGCAGGTGGGGCGAGAGGAGGGGATGTGTGGCCCGCTGCATCTCCCTGCGCTGCCGCTCCAACTGACAGAGAGGTGGCAGGGAAGGGGGTTCGGAGCAGAGGGAGGGGGGTGAGGAGAAGCGAGAGGAAGGGGTGAGGGATGACATCGGTTGATCACGTCATGTTCATCGGTGGGTGCGGAAGTTGTTTCGGGAAACATGTGTGATGGTGAATGCATGTGTGATGGTGAATGCATGTGTGATGGTGAATGCATGTGTGATGGTGAATGCATGTGTGATTGTGAATGCATGTGTGATGGTGAATGCATGTGTGATGGTTGAAAGAAACTAGGAGCTGTAGAGACTTGAGGAAGAATGATTGATATTAGCTCAAGAGAGCACAAGGTTATACAAGGAAGAGAAGGTTGAAGGAGAAAGGTTGGGTTGACCATAGGCTGGGTTGGCCTCACTTTGGGAAGTGAGGCAACCTAAGGTCAAGTGGGTTGCATTTGGGGGCTCCACCACAATTGGGTTGGATTGGCACCCCAAAATTGGTGTACAGTCACAAGTGTTAGCATGCTAGAACATACAATTCTAACACAACCCCTTAGCATGCTAACACAGGAAGAGAACAACCCCTGAATCAAGGGGCGCCCAGGCGAGCAAGGCCAATGAGACGGAGGAGAGAAGAGTGCGCAGGGCGAAGGAGGGCCTTGGTGAAGATGTCGGCTAAGTTAGCCTCTGCCGCAATCTTCCGAACAGCAATGAGGCCCTTCTGGACGAGCTCACGGATGAAGAAGTAGCGGAGCTCGATGTGCTTGGAGCGGGTGTGATAGACGGGATCTTGAGTGAGGTGGATGGTGCTGGCGTTGTCACACCAGAGAGTGGGGCAGGGCTGTGGGGCGCCAAGTTCTGCAAGAAGAAAGCAGAGCCAGCGCGACTCTTGAGCACATGGTGCCAGCTTAGAGCTCAGCCTCGCAGGTGGAGAGAGAAATGGCGGAGGAGCGGGTGGAGCGCCAGCTGATAAGGTCGCTGCCAAGGGTGAAATTGTAGCCCTGGGAGGAGCGGCGGTCTGGCTGCGAGTCTGCCCATGAGGAATCACTGAAGCTCGAGAGGAGAGGAGGGGAGGGGCTGCCAAGGGTGAGGACATGGTCCGTGGTCCCACGAAGGTAGCGGAGGACCCGCTTAGCAACTTTCTAGTGTTCCTCAGTGTGACGACCGGTGCCAACGAAGTGTGCGAGCACGCTGATGGGGTAGGCGAGGTCGGGGCGGGTGCACATCATCGCGAACATCAGCGACCCAACGAGCTTGGCATAGGGCTGAGGGGAGGAGGAGGGAAGAGTGGGTGGAGCGAGCTAGTGGCCGAAAGGGAGGGGGGTGGACACGGGCTTGGCCTGCGCCATCTCAAACTTCTCCAAGACCTGGCCGATGTAGTGGGACTGGGAGAGGGAGATGGTGCGAGCAGGGCGGTTGCGCGTGATAGCCATGCCCAGGTAGTGCGTGAGGTCGCCCAGGTCTTTGCATTTGAGACGCTGCTGCAGTGACATCTTCATCTGCTCCATGTCAGACTTGGAGTCAGAAAGCAGGATCATGTCGTCCACATACACCAGAATAAGAAGCGGCGAGGGGAGGAGCGAATGAAGAGGCTGGCATCAGAGTGCGAAGCAGAGAAGCCGAGGGACCCCAAGGTGGCAGCCAGCTTCGCATGCCACTCACGTGGCGCCTGCTTCAAACCGTAGACATGGCGACGCAGCTGCCACACAGTGTTCTCAGGAAAGGCTGCGTGGAACCCAGGGGGCCGCCGGAGGAAAATGCACTCGTGTAGGTCACCCTGCAGGAACGCGTTGGAGACGTCCATGGAGCAGATCTCCATGTTGTCGCGCGCACCAATGTCGAGGGCTGCGCGAAGGATGGGTGGCTTGGCGGTGGGGGCGAAGGTGGCCCAGAAATCCTCCCCCCAAGTCTGCGTGAAACCCTTGGCGCAGTAGCGTGCCTTGTAGACCGGCTCCTCGCCCGGCAGCTGTTTCACTCGAAAGACCCATTTGCCCTCGACGAGGTTGGCGTCGGCAGGGAGGGGGACATCGACAAAGGAGTCGTTGCGAATGAATGCCTCACACTCCAGGAAGATCGCCGCTATCCATTTGTCCGCGTCAGGGCAGGTGATGGCCTCTTGGAAGGTGGTGGGAGTGAAGATGGTGGGGGTGGAGGTAGCGCCAAGGACGGGAAAGCCGAGGAAGTCAAGGTAGAGGGAGGCAAGGAAAGGAGTGTGTTGTTGAATGGTGAGGAACTCCTCATGAGAGTCCTCAAGGAGCTGAATGGAGGCAGGAGGAGGAGTACCAAGGGTCCAGGGAGCGGGTGTGCATGAGAGGGAGGAGAAAGGGGGAGGAGCGGGAAGTTGCGCGATGCTGCTGGTGCTGCTGCTGGCCCGGCTGCTGCTGCTGCTGCTGCTGCCCTGGCTGCGGCTGCAGCTGCTGCTGCCCCTGCTGCTGCTGCCCCTGCCCCTGCTGCTGCTGCTGCTGCTGCCGCCCCTGCTGCTGCTGCTGCTGCTGCTGCTGCCGCTGCTGCTGCTGTTGCTGCTGCCGCTGCTGCTGCTGCCCCTGCTGCTGCCCCTGCTGCTGCTGCTGCTGCTGCTGCTGATCCTGCTGCTGCTGCTGATCCTGCTGCTGCAGCTGATCCGGCTGTTGTCGCTGCGGCTGCGGCAAAGGGGGAGGAGAGGAGGAGGGGGGGGGTGGAGGGGGCGCAGCTGAGTGGGCCGGGGAGGCGGGTGCGGCAGGGTCGTAGACATCGGCAGAGGAGGAAGGCGGGAGCGGAGCGGTGACAGGGGGGAGGAGGGGCGCTGGAGGGAGAAGCGGCGGGAGGACGGTGTCAGTCCAAGCGAGGGGGCGAGTGGGAGGAGGGAGAGGGTCAGGAGGAGGAGTGGAGTAGTAGGGAATGGACTCGTCAAAGACGACGTCAATGCTGCGGATGAGGCGATTGGTGAGAGGGTGGAGGAACAGGTGGCCAGGGGAATCGCGATTGTGCCCGAGGAAGACGCACTCCAGGGCACGAGGAGCGAGCTTGCCAGCAGCGTGGGAGCGATCGGCCGGTGGAATGAGGACGAACGCCTTGCAGCCCCAAACACGAAGGCCGGCAGCGTCAGGCTTGGCCTTGGACCAGAGTTCTGTGGGGGAGGAGGAGGGATGCTGAGGGTGGGAGCGGAGATTGAGGAGGAGGGCGGCATGAAGGAGGGCATAGCTCCAGAGGGAAGGAGGGGTGGAGGCGTGAGCAATGAGGCAGCGAGCAATCTTGGTGATCTCACGAATGCGACTTTCAGCGATGCCATTTTGCTGAGGGGAGTGGGGGAGGGTGGAGGTTTGCTGAATGCCGTACGTTTTGCAGTAAGTGGAGAGTGTATGATTGATGAACTCACCCCCACCGTCAAAGTGAAGGCGGCCGATGGGGCGTTTGAAGTGAGTGCGGCACTGCTCAGCCCAGTTGATGACCACAGCCGGCACCTGGTCTTTCGAGTGAAAAAAGAAGACGGTGGAGTACCGACTGTGGTCGTCGACGAGGACGAGCATGTACCGGTGCCTTTGATGGGAGCGGATGGGATAAGGGCCCCAGAAATCCATGTGAACAAGGTCAATGGGGGCGGCAACGAAGGTGGGATGACTGTGATGGGGGGACTATTTGAGCTTGCCATGAATGCACGATGGGCATGGAGGAGCAGGGGAGGAGGGGAGGGGAGGTAATGTGGGAGGAAGGCTGTTAAGGAGGCGAGAGGTGACGGTGGAGCGAAGTGCGGCGAAGTTGGGATGGCCGAGTCTGTGATGCAAGAGCACTGCAGGGTGGGAGAGAACAATAGACGAGGAGGGGGATCGGGTGGGGGAAGAGGTGGAGGGGGAGGAGGAGGTGGATGGAGTAGAGGAGGAGGATACCGGAGGAAGAGAGGGAGGGGGAGGGGGAGGGGGAGGGAGAAGGGGACTGGTGGAAGTACCAGCACGAGTGCTGACGTGACAGAAAGAGGGACGGGGTATGCGGAGCGTGTAAAGGCGAGTGCGAGGGCAAAGGGGAATGCGCAGGAGGAAGCGACCAGAGGCGGTGTGGTAGAGATCACAGTAGGAAGCAAAGCCAGGGTAAATGGCGGTAATACCAACGCCTTGGAGCTCACGGTGGGAGAGGAGGTTATTGCGAAGGGTAGGGATGTGGAGACCTGTGACTGTACCAGATGGGAAAGCGGTGCAAGGAAGAGTGCAGGGGATGGAAAAGCTGGAGTCGGCACCATGAACCTGGGTGGGAAGTGGGAGGGGGGTGAGGGTAGACATGAGCAAATTCCCGAACCCCTGTTCGGTTCGAGTCGAACACGTTCGACTCGAACCGAACAGGGGTTTTTTTTTGCCCAAAAATGTTCGTGACGAACACCTAGGTGTTCGTCACGAACATGTTTGAGTGTTCGTTGCGGTTCGTGCAAAAAAATGCACGAACACCTAGGTGTTCGCGAACACTTTGTGTTCGCGGGCGAACACCGAGGTGTTCGCGAACACAAAGTGTTCGCGGGCGAACACCGAGGTGTTCGTCGAAATCCAGCGCGTCAAAAATTGACGCGCTGGTTGGATCTAAAAGGGGAAAGTGACGATTGAGCTCATTGTTGGGCTCAATCGTCAATTTCCAGTTAGGATAGCATTCCGCCCACTACCCATTTAAACTGCATCACTCCCACGGTTTAAAGTCCACATTGAGGCTAGAAACGTTAAGTATAAGGGTAGATTAGGTTAGGAAACGTTTAAAAACAGAAATCAAGAGCATTTCGTTTTAGCAAAGAGTTTAGCAAGGCGGATGGATTCAGAAATGGTTGATGTAGGGTTGGTTAGCAGCCAAGACAAGGCTATTCCTGGCCCATCCGCACTACTAGATACTGCAACTGGGACCGCAAGCCCTCTCGCACCTCTCGAGCTCATAGGGGGGCAATACCTAGGAGTCCCCACGTCACCAAAAAGCTACAGGTTTAGTGGCGGGGGGCTGGCTGCACCCTCACATCGGTATGGGAAGTCTCGTGATGAGATCGAAGAGATTTCAGAGGAGGCCGAGGAGGATGCGGAAGGGGGGGGGGGGGGAAGGTCAAGGGTGGTGGGGGGGGGGGGGAAGCCAAAGGGATTGGCTGGAGAGTGGCGGCTGGAAAAGAAGCGCCC